TTTTTTTACTTTTTTTTGACTTTTTGTTGCCTCCAGTAATCCGCCAAGGCTAGGATCCGCACATTTGACTCTTTTTTGACTTTTCCAATTGACTTTTTTTTGACTTTTTTTTGCCGGCCCAGCCCCGCATGCCCCAGCCCGCCTGTAGCCTGCCTGAGCTCGACCTCAACCTGACCCCTCCGCCAGGAGCCAGCCGCAGCCAGCCCAAAGCCTGGCCCTGGCAGCAACCTGCCCCAAAATTTGAGCAGCAGCTGAAAGCCATAAGCCATAGGCAAAAAGGCTGCAATTTGCATTGTTACAAGCTTTTCCTTGACTTGTTTACCTATGCAAAGTTTTTGTTTGACTTTTTTGACTTTTTGTTGACTGTTGACTTTTTTTTGACTTTTGTTCGACTTTTCAATTTGACTTTTTTTTGACTTTGGGATTGACTTTTTTTAATTTTGAAAACAGGTTCTTTCCAATGAAAGTTTTTTATAAGCTTATCAAACCCAGGAGACTTTGGCCGATGCATTTAACTTGCAGAAATTCATAGAAATTCTGAACCGGAAAATGACAGCAACTGCCATGAGCGTGGTTTTTGGCTGGTGGGGTGATGACGCAGGATGGCTTGTAAATGTTCCTGAGATTCCAACACATCCCATGGTGCAGCATTTTTCTATGCGAATGAGATAAGGTTCATGGCGAGAGCCTCAAACCTCCGAGCTCTGTTCTTCATTCTCCATGCCCCTGGGCGCCCTGGCAATTTTCTCAGCCGCCGCCTCTGGTGTTGGTGCCACACAGCACACCTCTGGGTGAGACATGAGGCGTGAAGAAACCGATGAAAAGCATGTGCCGCTCTCTTCCACCCACTTGTCATCAAGTGCTGGGCCCCCAACGGCGAGCTCCTCGATCGCTCTCAGGACTGCCGCCGGCAGCACGCCGTCCCAAAGCTCCTGTGTTCCTCAATGCGTGAAGCGTGCAACCTGGGTCCTCTTCGGGGTGTGTGGTGCGATTGGTGCGAACACTGGCAAAATGTGAGACCTTTGGAGCATCTGTAACGTACAGCGAAGCTGCATGCTGCATAAATGCAAATGTTTGAAGTTTATAAATTTACTTATTGGTTTTTGTGCTGTTGCAAAGACCAACCGTTCCGGGTCAGTGTCAGCTTGGCCATGGTGCCAGGCCTTGAGGGGACAATGCATCCACCGCAGAGCGCAACCTGTGCTGCAGGAGAATGCATGTGGGGCATTTGCTTTTCTGGTGTCTCTCAGGCATTTCCGACCAACAATACAATGGAACGCACAACTGGGGTCAACTGGGTGCATGTTGCATGCGAAAACTTCTCCTGAAAGCCACAGCTTGCTGTATCACTTCTTCCCCCAGGTTTGTGTCATATGTACAAGGGGTCCCTGCCCATGAAGCAAACCCAAAGCGTGGAACCCCCCCAAGTGGCTGGGCAAGTTGTGGGAAGTGACACGTCGGGGTGACCCATCATGATTGGCCTTTCAATATCGCTCAATGCTTGGTCAGTGCCTTCAAGTCCTATAGGACACCAGCCGCAGCCGCCACAAGCAGATCAAAGGTATATAGTATAATTACAGCTGGTCATGTCCATCCTGGACAACCAAGAAGCTAGCTGTGCTAGCAGCTTCGCAGTTATCCTCAACTCTGCTTCTGAACCTCACATGCAGTCTTTCTTGGTATCCACTGCGAGTGGAGCTCTGAGCCTGTAGGGGTTTGGATTTGGACCCACCCAAATTCCAACTTGTTGCCTCCGACGCCAGCCGCGCATCGCTGGGTGTCGGGCGGACCGCTCTGCAAAACATACAGGAGCTTGGCCCAACCCTGGCAGTACCCGTTGACTCAGGAATCAGGGTAAAAAAAGGAGAAACACCAGGAAAGGCATTTAACCCGTTGAAAGGGTCACCTGATCTTGTTGTAAGCGTGCTTTTCACTTTGATATGTAAGGTCGTCTTTTCGCAGCTTCTCTTGAGAAACGTCTGCCTCGATGCACCTAGGACCTAGTGGAATTTGACCCACGCCAAACTATCTTAGAAGGCTGACCCAAAGCCGTCTAAGGAAAGAATCACTTGGCCGCATGTGGCTTCAACTCAATGAGTGAAGCTTGCCAATTGTTGAGAACTACATACGTTGAAGATCAACACATGCTCTTCTAGAATAGTCCACGTCTTCTCTGCGATCTTTCCTTACACCACACATCGGCCTTCCGCGTGTCACCCCGGTGCCTTCTTCATCCATCTGGTGTCCAGGTGTCGGTCGGGCGCTTTGAGGACCTGATGGAGCGCCCGAGCGCAACATGAACCTCACCCAATGGGAAGACCATTATGGGTGTGAAAGCCCTGGAAGCTGCGTCAGAGTGCCGGAAGACACGAGGATTGTGGTCAGAGCAAAGCTTACTGTAGACACTGTAGACATAGCTACATGCATAGCACCAAACATGCAACCATGTCCAGGTTGTTTTTGGGGTCTCTTTGTCAGCCCTTTGGCTTGCGCCAAGGCGTCTTCGTCTTGAATCTTCTCATTCCTCCGGCAGGTGAGTAAAACTGGACGATGTGAAGACCAGCATCCTGGACGATGTTGCTAGGAATGCCTCCTAGGATTCTGAAGGCTCCTCTGCACTGCCTGGTGTCCTCTGCCAGGCTCGGTTTCCAGCAGTCGGTGCGGCCCCAAAAACATGCTCAGCATTCCAATGAACATGGTGTTTGGAGAGCTACGTATATACTCCACATCAAATATTATCAAGCCATGAAGACCTCGAAAAAAGGAAGTCACACCTCCTCCAACTCCAAACACCTCCAACCACATTGGCCTCCCTCTGACCTCAAGACTGCACATACAATCACACACACACATTGTATACAGTAAGCAATTTGTACTCCCCCAACACCTCAGGTCATGTGTGACTGACCTCCCAATTTGACTGTGAAAACGCACGAAGTCCGCCTTTCCACACCCTCACGTCTTCATCGAAACGCGCCTGCCCCAGGGAGCGACATAAAATCTTCTCGGCGTCCATAGGCAGCGCCGGGCTGACGATGCGCGCCCAAAGCGCGCGGGGCCTGGAACATCACTCACTTTCCAACCAACCACACAATAGTCGGTATATATATATATATATTATATTTGTCGTTGATCTATCTTGAGATTTGGTGGGCCAAAGGTCCAAGCTGCAGTTCTGCATCTGGCCGAGAAAATGCTTGATGGTTTGGTAAACCTCAACCAAAAAAGCATCAAGCATCATCAAGCCATCCTTTCCAACTCGCACTCTCTTGATGCTCGGGCTGGAGTTGAATGGATTTGGTGTGAATTATTCGTCTTTCCTGCTGCAAGTTCTCAGCAGGCACCCAGTCCAGTCGGCCTGCACAGTCTATACATGCGGTCGCCGGCTGGGAAATGCAGGCGTCCGACTTTACAGGAGGACGCGCCACTGGAGGACAAGCTGTCAACACTCACTGCTTGATGCGAGCACATTCCACATTCACCACAGCGGTGTTCGACAAATGTGTCCCCACCTTGGTAAAAGAGCTGCAATCGTCATTGAAGACGTAGTCTGTGAAGGCATCATGGAAGCGAGCATTGGGATCCTGCCCTACAGTCTCGACAATGGCACAGCGATAGGTGAGGTGCGGTGAGGGCACTTTTGCGCAATGTTGAATTTCATGGTTGTCAACCCCATAGTGAAGGCCAACCCGCATGAATTTTGCGTAGTCGTTCTTGACCAAAGTCACCTCGTCCTTCTCATTGGGATAGAAGGTGATCTCACCCATCTCATCAAAAACGGTGGTGTTGCAGCTAAAGTGCCCTGTCACATCGCAATCTTCAGCCCTCTTGTGCAGGAAGTGATCGCCAGCCCAAGCGAAGGGAAGAACCATAACGACCACTGCGATGAACATCGTGAAACGCGAAACCACCACTCACGCTACACTTACTATGTTTCTGCCAATTGAACCAAATGGCTTTGGCCAAAGCCGACACATTTCGCAAACAAATCCATGATATTGTTGGCCAGGCGGCGATGCAAAACACAAACTCTGGTTGTTTGATATGCAGAGATTACATGAAGGGGGATCCTTTTGACCACTGACTGGCTACAGGAAGCTGGAACATATTTTTGCTGGGAGATGTTGGGAACACGTCTTAGAGGGCATGCTGACAAATCAGGTGCTTCTATGAGGGAAGATAGGTTTGAAGTTAGAAGCACCAGGAGTTTCACATAGGCCGGCCACTTCAAATCAACAAGTGCGTGATTGAATCAAAGTGTTGATATAATGAAAAACAACTCGTCAAACTAAGGTGCCGTCTCTGGATCTTGAGCCAACCCCCGGACAAGTCTGGATTTTTCTTTGGATAAATCATGTGTACTACCATGTGTTACAGCCATGTGTCGCCATAATGGCACCATTCTGATTGACACTTTACACTTTAAGGACAAAAACAACCAAGAGCTACTAGTAGCAATGTTCGCTACTAGGGGCTCCTGGCATCGCTACTAGGAGCAAGGGCCTTACTACTAGTAACAAGAAGCTAGTAGAAACAACCAATCAGAAGAGGTTGTTCGGTCCAACATCCAACAAACAAACAATGCCCTGCAAGCTGCTCCGATCTCCCGTCACCCGTCTCCGGGTCTTCCCGTCTTCCTTGGTCCCTTGGGTCAGACCGAAACGCGTACCGCCGAACGACCGTTGACTCCAAGTCCCTGAAAACCCACATCCTTTTTCCATTGTTTTTTTCCCTTGCACCATCCGCGTCTTCTCAGAAGTCGTGGCAAAGTGAGTCAGCTTGCAGCCTCGCAAAGAACAAATTTGTGCCAACCACCTGCGGATACTGGCCTCCAACCACAAACACTGAAACAGCAACATGTTCTTCCATCCACTTCCCTACATCTTGTGCTCAAAGGTGGGATGACATGTCCATACTCTTCGGGGGGCAACAACGTCGCGCTGCAAGGCCGTTCAATGTTCAATTGTGTTTGTTCTCGAAGGTGACACCTATGGTCAATCCAACATGCAAGAAACATACCAGTCACCAGTCCTTCAGCTGAAAAGTCTCCACCTGAGGGTGCTGGCTGGTGAGGGTCTCCCATCGCCCGCCTCCAAACGCCCGCGTGTGTAGCCCTCGGTGCCGAATATCTTCAGCAGCTCTCCGGACTGGGCTGCCACCTTGGGAGCGTGGGAACCTTCAAGTCATGGAAAAGGTAACACAGAAAGCAAACCCTTTGACTGTACTAAGTACTACAACAACAGCACGACTCCTACTCCTACTCCTGCTACAACTACTGCGACGACGACGACGACTACTACGACGACGACTACTGCTACTGCTACTGCTACTGCTACTACTACTACCACTGCTGCTGCTGCTGCTGTTGCTGCTGCTGCGGCTACAGCTACTTCTCGTTCTCCTTCTCCTTATGAATCCTGATGGTTAACGGTGCTTAGTTGTATATAGCCATCAAAGTCAGTAAGCGTTGGCCGTGGCCTTGGCCTAATCGATCTCCTAGGACAGCCAGAATCACCTGTCTGGACGTGTCGCGCCGACCAAACAACGTGCAAACATGTGCATTGAAGCTGCGTGTCGCGCCGACCAAACAACGTGCAAACATGTGCATTGAAGCTGAGTGCGGGCACCTCAGCTCTAACGCGTGCTCGGTCAGTTCAGTAGCATCAATCAACATGACCTTTAAAGGTGCAGGTGATGGGAATGATTGAATGTCTCCACATGCTCAGCCCCAATCAATGTTCAAACTCTCAAAGGCAGACTCCGAAACTCAACCCTTTGCCCGCAGCTTGTTTTCCCTCTTGAACATGTCATGATCCAGACTGTCCAAACATGTCCAAACTCGAATTTCAAGCATCGGCCTGCCACCGTTCCAGCAGCTCATCTTCCACTTTCCCCAGCACATAGCTCCCCACATCACCGCCATCCGGCCGCCCGATACCCAGCCGCAGCCGGCGCACGTTTCCGGCCGCGCGGCGCACGCCGCGCACGCCGCGGTTGCCGGCGTCGCTGTGGTTGCCACCGAGGACGGACCAGCACAAGGGCGGCAGGTCAAGATCATCATGCAACAGGAGCACCTAGTAACAAGGACGCTACTAGGTGGCACTAGGTGGAGGCCATCGCTGTTGGGTTGGGGGCCACAACTACTAGTGACAAGGTCGCTAGTAGGGGAACCCACCTTGGCGACGAGACTCTGGGTCCGTGGCCCCGGGGCCATGAGGGCAAACGCGGCACATTTTAGGTGGAGGGGAAGGTGTACATATGCCACGCCCCTCAAAAAGCCCAGACCTCCTCTGTAATATTAATGACCTTTTGAGGCCCCTATTGTGTCCAAACGCTCCTGTGGAATCCCAACTGGCAAACAAGTCTGAATGCCCCGCCAACCATGTTGCAAACATAATACGCGGACAAAGCTCCTACTATCCGAGAAACTGTCTTTCCATTACACTCGTTAGCCACTGGTTTCATACAGAAGTCGCAGGCCAGGGTAAATAGATACAAATACATACATACATACATACATACATACATA